CAGAATTGTCTTCAATAAATGTGAAAATTTCAACGAAATAAACATAATTTAGACAAAAAATATTAGCGAAATTATTTAAGAAGTGGCCAATGTTGCAACTTTCAAATTTCACATCTACGCGGGCGCCATGGTGTAAGGGCTGCAATCGCAGCAAAAGCATTCGAAAATGTTTGTTAAGTTTTTATGATTATTTAAAAACTTAGAGCAAATCCCCTTTCTGGGTATAGATAGCACCTCATTCTTTCGCATTTTTACTAGGTGATTACGTACTAATCAGTCCTGAGCCGTATCCATCGTGTTTTCCAATTTGAAGAAATGCACAAATCATAAGTTTATCTGATTTCCGCATACTGCAATTTGCGCATAGTTTTTATAGTTTTGCCACCTCAATGGACCAACTTCTGGATTTGGAAACGCTGAAAAAGCTGACTCCTGAGCAACAACAGCAAGTGATTGCGGGAGTAAAACAGCAGGCGGCAATTGCTAATGCACAGAATCTAATCACGGTTGGTTTCGTTTGATTGGACGTTCTTCATCTTTACCTGCATGTTTCGTTGATTTGGAAAGGTTGGATAGTCATCTATGGTTTTGCACACTATGCTCGAGGCATGTATTGTGGCCGAAGAATATGGGTTCTACTGCGTGACATAATTGCAAACTTCATAAGCAGACCTGCAATTAGTACTAATTCTGGTCGAATGTCCAAATTAATACGATGTCAAAGTATTCTACTTTTCGATTAATTTTATGCTATGAAGCCTGATTCAACCTATAGCGGTTAAATTCGACAACTATCATCTTTTGTGTAGTTTTTTATAACAAAATTACAGCTTTTTCAGTAATTCGGTCAATAGTTTACTTTTCCTGCAAGCTATAGAACTGCAAAATGATTGATAGTTTTACAAGAATGAAATCTGGATTTTAAAACTCTTTTTAGTGTCACATACAGCAGTTATTATCTCTGATCAAGAATAATGAGGTTTCCCGATTGTCAGTGAGTAAGTAACTTTCCTCGTGCGACTTGCCAAGCTCGTAATATGCTCGTCAAAATCCTTTTCCTATATTTAATCGCATCGTAAGCATCTCTAACACAAAGATCTAAAGAATGCTTTACCAAAAAAATTGAAAAATCATAGAGGAAGCGGGCAATGCTGATCAGGACTCATGGTCTGTTCTTCAGAGAAGCTGTACCGCAACGCGCGCTATTTTATACCTTTTTTCGATGTTGCTTGACGCGATCTGAAGGCACGCCATGCGTCACTCGCGCACTGCTGCAGACAGTACAGCAACGCGGGTTACTTCTAGAGGAACGTACTATAGATCTCAATTATGCTGTTGCTCTTTTCTATACATCTTGTGCAACACTCGTGCGGCGTCTGAATACATTCTTACATCATCCAAGTTTGCCTTTCTTACTTGGACGATAGTTGTTTTTTGCTTGAGCGAATCCTAGAATTTCAAGGACCTTTAAACGGCCACTCCTACATTGCTTCTTTGGGAATACAAATAAACAAGCGTTTGGACTTGGCTTTTTTTCCAGGATCTGTCGGAGAAATGTACACAGAAATGCATCTCGTCGCCGGGTACTTCACTTTCCAACTCCGATAAGCAATGCCTGCAGCGATGTATGGACCGTTTCATGGACTCTTGGAATCTAGTCTCTCAGACACTACAAAAGCGTCTACAAGAAGAGTTAGCATCTTCTGGTGCATTCCAGGGCGGTCCCACTTTCTCTTGAGCGGCCTTTGTTTCTGTTTGTTTATTTACAGTATAGAAATTGTTATGTTTTTAATATAAATTTTAGGCGTAGGGAACCAGAAGTGGAAACTTTTTTATCAATGTAAATGTTATGCTTGTTAGTTGTTTTTGAATATCTATGCTAGTTTTTTCTCTTTTTGCACTTAGAGCTGTTCAAAACACAGTCTTCCACAATAGAAGTCCAGAAGTTCTCTTTTTGTTACGAACTTTCTTTTTTAATGATCACTCTTTACGCTAATAAATCATAACTTTGTTGGCCAGGAAACGATAACACGAATTTCAAAAGCTTCTCTTATTTTTGAATAGTTAATCTGCTGTGAGCTTTCTCTTTCACTCTTAAATATACCTTAATTTACTAGCAGCTTGTGGGGCGTAAATTTCAAAAACCGACAGCAGCACAAGGCGCCACGATCCTCTTTTTGCCCTTCAAAAAAGCCTTTCGGGAAACTTGTGTTTTTAAACTCATATTTACACGCGACGCATTTTTCTGTTGACGTAACGGGGAAGTACATCAAGGGTGAAATCAAAGTCGCTAAGCTGACACCTGTCTTCTATCGATCTCGTTGTTATTGGTTCTCAAAATCGCAATAATATGAATATTACAGAGAACAGACACAGACTTTCTGCTCACGCGTTTTCAAAGTACATGCATCAATGAATGGTTGCAAACCTCCTTTCCTAATTTTTAGAGAAAGCAGTACTAGTCACAATGAAAGCACGATAACAACACATTTTTCCAGCTGGATCAATCATTTTTGTTATGACCAACTTGAAAAAACTGTAATTTATTGGATCTGCAGTGTGCACCACATTTCATTTCGTTAACACTTTTAGTTTAAAGATTTTGCAACTTCTTATAAGCAGATTGCACGTTTTACTTAGAAGTGTTATGGAAGAGACTGCTTTTAGGACGTTCTCCGCTTTTGATGTGATTTTAACAAACCAGGAAGTGTGTGTGTGCTGGTGGTTTGTACCAATTTGGCTAGTCTCTAACTTATTTTTAATTCCGGTTCGATAATTCTTAATTCCCTCCGCTCATGCATTCTAAGCATACAAAACACAAGAAGAAAAAGTAATACTGAGAAAAGGCCCATAAATTCTCAGAGGAGAGAACACCTGACCTGAGAAGCTAATTTTAGGCGGGAAGATGCTAAAAAAGTTCTTGGCTGTAGCATGTGTGCTTGCTTTCACAGGTCTTACAGAGGAGACCACGATAGTAGTAATTTTAAAAAAACGGTCTCTTGAACGAAGGCGAAATGCTAGTAAAACACATTCGAAAACATGTATTATTCTATCACAGTCATCATCTTCATCTAACAGTATCCGACAAAAGCTACTGTAGAACAGTAGTATTATACATTCCTATTACACATCATTATTGTACACGTACTATGCAGGAAACACATGACATTTGAATAAAAGAAAATGAAATGCAAAATTGAGTTCAGCGAATGCATAGTAACCACAATGAATATGTACATTATCCAGAACAGTAGACTAAACGCGATCAATAATTTAGAGCCATGTGTAAAACCGTGCATACGACACTGGCAAGAGATAAAACTAGGATTAAAATCGATATTCTGCAAATTTGCAAATCTTCACTTGACAAATGGAATTCGAAATAATGGAAATTAAAACCTAATATTACCTTAGTGCTTGATGAGAACGAGTGAAATGTCATTGACATTTCTCGGCAGCACTGAGAAAGAATTTGGGGAAGAAAATTTTGTAATTTTTTTGGATTAAAAACAATAATAACCGTAGTTAAATTGGACAGAATCAAATGGTAAAGCTACCAGTACACATTGTAACTATAGTTGAGGGAATGCCGATTCTTCTGTTGGATTGTCATGACTCAACGGTCCTGTTTCTTCTCCCTGAAATTAAGAATATAGCATTTTTTTCTCAACTTGAGGACTCTGTTTTCTGGTGCAAAATCTGTATTGATCACATTATTTCTGACTGTTTCTCATCTGCCGTAGAGCGCTAAAAGCTACTCCTTCTAAGTCAAGTTACATAAGAAGTGCAATTACTGTATGCGTCAGTATGTATGTGTCTATGCATCCAATACGATTCAATGAATCTTTTTTGACCACTTTTTCTCACCAACTTTTAAAGTTTGCACCAACTTCGGCACTGTGAAGATTACATAGACAGACTACTTCATCTAGAATAAAATCAACTAATTTTCAAGAAAGCGTTGCAATTCGTAAAATGCTGAAAATTGGGGCACAAGGGTAAGCTACAAGGCTGATGCGTTCTGATAACCATCTTATAAAAATGCTATTTTTATAAGATACCATTTAATAAATAGTTTTACTTTTATCGATTTATAATTTCCACTGTTGACTATGTCGTCATTTAAAAATATGGTTTGTCAAACATAGTCTTTCTAGACTTGCACCAAGTGGTGAAATTTGTTTCAAACGCCATTTTCAAATATAACAACCAATTTAAATTTAATACATCTTTTATTTATTTCAATTTCGAATAGAGAACCTTCAATGACTTGAGTTATTAGCTTCGCGTAAAGACCAAGTTTTGAAATATGGATGGAACCGTTGACTAAAATTGCAAACTCTTGGGCATAGCCGGGTGTACTAGCTACTTAGTACATTACCAACTTTGATGAATTCTTATTTTGAGTAAAAGTTTTGGGCTTTTAGATAATGGATAGACTAAGATGTAGCACAGCAAACAAGTAAATTAGTAAAAGTGAGGAAGGCAATGCATGAAGCGGAAAACTTAGCTGGATGCAGAT